CCTACAAATTGGAAGTCCCCCTACCTCCCTCCCCTGCTCATCACCCACCAGCCACTGTCTGGCTTAGTGTGGAGGCCTCTGAGCATTTTCTCTATGTATTTATATACATTCCTGTGATTATATGTAAATATGCTTGTCAAAAGTATGTGCTCAGTTTTTTATTACATAAATGAGTTCATATGGTTCATACTGAGCTGCAGCTTACATTTTTTAATTTAACAATATGTCTTAGAGATAATTTCATGTCAGTATACACAGAGCCACCTTTTGTTTTTTGTTTTGTTTTCGTTAATCCTTACCTAAGGATGTTTTTTCCATTGCTTTTTAGGAGTGGAAGGGGGAAGGGGAGAGAAGAAGAGAGAAAGAGAAATATTGTTGTGAAAGACACATGATTGGTTGCCTCCTACAAGTGCTCTGTCCAGGGCCGACCAGGGCCGGTGATCGAACCTGTAACCCAGGTACATGCCTTTGACCGGGAATCGAACCTGAGACCCTCTGGTGGGCAGGCCAGTGCTCTAAGCACTGAGCAACACCTGCTGGGGCCAGAGTCACCTTATTAATGGCCACATGGTATTGCCCAGAATGGGCATATCATAGTTTATTTAACCAGTCCTGTTTTGGTGGACATCTTCTGAAACTATTTTTAAAATGTTGCAGTGAATTCGTACCTTTGTGCATTTGAGCAAGTAGTTTTCTGAGTTAGGCTCTTGGAAGGAAACTGCTAAGTCAGAAGGTGCACAATTTAAAAGTTGAATAGCTATTTTATGTAATAAAATCATTTCCTTGATATTGTCTGAGTTTTTGTCTTGCTCTAAAAGGCTCTTCCATAGTTCACATTATAAAAATATTAGATTATATTTTCTCAAGATTTTTATGTTTTTAAAATATTTTCATGTAAAGTTGTCTGATGTGGCCTTAGACTATCTTTCCTTTAGTTTTATTTTCATTTTTAAAAATTAATTAGGTGATAAATGGTGATAGAAGGAAACTTGACTTGGCATGGTGAATATAATACTACATACAGATGATGTGTTGTAAAATTGTATACCTGAAACCTGTGTAATTTTATTAATGTCATCCCAATAAATTCAGTAAAAAATAAATATTAATTAGAGTCTTTTGTATTTTTGTTTCTTTTAGCTGATGTATTTTCTAGCAAAACAAGAGTAATTACATGGCCTTGTTAAGCTACTTGAGTTTAGGCCCAGTCAAAGCTGAGATTCTATTGGCCCGGGGCTAAACTAGCAGGAGAGCCTTTTGTATTTTTAAGAAAATACCTCTTTTTCACATTTGTCACAAACATTTTTCCCTCTTCATAGTTTGTCTTCCTGCTTTATTTTTTAGTGAATTTTTAAATGTATAAAAGTGGGAGATTTTTTGTGTGTTTTTTTTAATGTTTTTATTGATTTCAGAGAGAAGAAGGGAGAGGGAGAGACAGAAACATCAATGATGATCGACTGACTGCCTCCTGCACGCCCCATACTGAGGATCGAGCCTGAAACGGGTATATACCCTGACCAGGAATTGAACTGTTAACCTCCTGGTTCATAGCTCGACGCTCAACCACTAAGCAACACCGGCCAGCCATAAAAGTGTTTTAATGTTAATTATTTCAACAAATAACTATTGGCCCTGCCAAGTAGCTCAGTTGGATAGAGCATCAGCCCCATACACCAAGGTTGTGAGCTCAATCCCTGGTCAGGGCACATACAAGAATCAGCCAATGGCCCTGTGGTTAGAGCCTTGGCCTGTGCACAGGAGTGTCTTGGGTTTGATTCTGGTCAGGAGCCTGTACCTGGGTTGCAAGTTGGAGCCCCTCTCCTGGTTGGGGTGCTTGCAGGAGGCAACCAATCGATGAGTCTCTCACATTGATGTTTCTCTCTCTTTCTCTGTGCCCCCTTCCCCTCCCCCCTCCCTTCCACTCTCTAAAAATCAATGGAACAAATATCCTCACTCCTTGGGTGAGGATTAATATATGTGTGTACACACACACACACACACACACACACACACTTAGCCAATGAATACATAAATGAGTGGAACAACAAATCGATGTTTCTAGTAAGTGTTACTGTTTAAAAACTCAAAGTCTCAATCCCTGCTCTTATTCAACTGATTCTACCCCTCACCTACAAGTAACCACTGTTACTAGATTCTCGTAAATCTTGCAAAAGTTTCTTTTTTCAAATGGAAGCAAGTATAAATATGCGTTGGTTTTACCGCCTTTTATGTAGAAGTATACAGAAGTTCTTAGTTTTTATTTGTTGGTCTTTTTCAATGACGCTTCTGAGTTTTATATCATGCTTAGAAATTGTTTCTACTTTGAGACTTAAAATATCCATGATCTTTTTCTCTTGTGGCCTTATTTTTTTTAACATTTAAATTTTGAATTCCATTTGGAAAATATTTTATTGTAGAAATTAAGTAATGAAATAGTGTTTATTGTGATTTTTTCCATATGAGCCATTGTCTTATTTTAAGTATCAATTTGCACCCATTTGAAATGCCATCTTTATTACATGTTCAATTCCCAGGTCTTTTTTTTGATTCTGTTCTCTTCCATTAATCTATTTTTTTACTCGTGTGCCAAAACAACAGGTTTGGGGGGGGGGGGTTGTTTTTAATATGTCTTTATTGATTTCAGAGAGAGGGAGGGAAAGGGAGAGAGAGGATAGAAACATCAGTCAGGAGAGTCATTGATTGGCTGCCTCCTGCATGACCCCCACCGGGGATCGAGCCCACAACATGGGCATGTGCCCTGACCAGGAATCGAACCACTAATCAAACTGCAGTCTCCTGGATCATAGGTCGATGCTCAACCGCTGAGCCATGCTGGCCAGGCCCAAAACAACAGTTTTGATTAACTTGAGTTTTATGTAGTATACTTGATATCTGATGTGCATGTTCTCATATTTTCAGATGTTCTTATATATCTTCCAGTATTCTCTTTCTGATGATCTTTTCCCCTCCAGACAAACTGTAGAGTCAGTTTGTGCTTCCCTTCCCGCAAAAAAATTGAGAGTGATTTTTATTGGAATTCTTGTGCACTTATAGATCATTTTGGAATATTTTTCTTTATTTTTTCTTTTTAAATATATCTTTATTGATTTCAGAGAGAGGAAAGGAGAGGGAGAGAGAGAGAGAGAAACATCAATGATGAGAGTCATTGATCGGCTGCCCCCTGCATGCCCCCCAACTGGGGATCGAGCCCGCAACCCAGGCATGTGCCCTGACTGGGAGTTGAACTGTGATTCGCCTGAATCCTAGGTCAGTGCTCACTGCTGAGCCATGCCCGGCCGGGCTGGAATATTTTTCTATGTCTTCTATATCCTTGAGTAAACTTTGATTTGATTTTGTAAAAATTTTTGTTATGTCTATTTTTGGGTACCTTATAGTTTTGTTGCTGTCATGATCAGGATCTTTTTAAAGTTATATTTCTAATTGGTTCTTGCTATAGTATATAGACAATTAATTGGTATAGAAAATATATTGATTTCTGTTGCTCATTCAACTGAGCTCTTTCATTCATTGTTCCATAGACTGGCTTGGATTTTCTAAGTAGACAATCACATTATTTGTAAGTAGTAGTAATCTCATTCCTTTTCCAAAATAGAAACCTCTGTGTGTGTGTTTTTTCTTTTGTTGTTGTTGTTGTTAATCCTCACCCAAGGACATTTTTTCCATTGATTTTTTTAGAGAATGGAAGGGAGGTGGAGAGACAGAGAGAAACATCAATGTGAGAGGGACATATCAATTGGTTGCCTCCCACACTCACCCTGACCAGGCCGGGGATCAAACCTGCAGCCCAGGTACATGCCCTTCTCTGGAATTGAACCTGAGACCCTTCAATCCACAGGCCAACACTCTAACTACAGAGCCAAACCGGCCAGGGCTCTGTGTGTGTTTTCTTAAATAATTTTGGCTAGAACCCCAAGAAGAATGTCAAATAGAAAGAAGGTAATGGTGAGCATCTTTCTGATCTTTAATGGGAAGGCTCCTGAAATGACACCAGCTAAAACAGTCTCCTTAACCACCGTTTTATTCTTGATACCCTGGAATAGTGCCTACTCCTTCCTGTCCCCTTCTCCCCTCCTACTTTGTCTTTTCATGCAGCACACACTCTCTCCTCACACATCTCAGATTGCAGTCATCTTGTGCCAGCGTGTGATTTCAGTTACCTGTCATAAGCCAAGCATTAACAAGATTGACATCTCTAAACCAGGACTCTTCTCAGCTCTGGACTCACTGAAGAGCTCCTCTTGGATTTCTTTCATGCACTGTTAACTTGGTACCTCTAAAACTGAGTTTTTTATTAACTAGTGTTGAGCTGGACCCCTGGGTATAAAGCCCACTACCTGATTCAGTGTTAAGAACCAGAAATAGCCCTGGCTAAGGTGGCTCAGTTGGTTGGACGTCTTCCTGTGCACCAGGAGGTTGCCAGTTGGATTCCCTGTCAAGGGCACATGCCCTGATTTTGGGCTCCATCCCCGGTAGGGGGAGTGCAGGAGGCAGCTGATTGATGTTATACACCCATATTGATGTTTCTCTATCTCTCCCTCTTCCTTCCTCTCTCTCTAAAAGTCAATAAACTATTCTAAAAAAACAAACAGAAGAAAGGCTGTCTACCCTGACTGACTCTCTGAGAGGGTTTTATTTCCTGCTAATATAGGCTCAAACCAGCCACCCCACCCTAGTCCTACCTCAGTTTTTGCCTTGGATATTGGCCACACAGCCTGCCTGTCCCAGAAACTCCTGCCATCCTTGCATACTTACCCCAAGAACCACATCCTTCCCTGCCAACAGCTCTTGTTTCCTTGCCTGCTGCACCTAAGCATGCATATAGCTGTTTCTAGTTATCACCCTCCCTCCCCACCACTGGAGGGGCCTCCTCAAGTTTCCTGTGGAGAACAAATAGAGGTTTTAGGGGTTCCTCTGGGGCTCACTTCATCTGGATGCATGGGCAGAAGGAGGCTAACCTCTGTTCATCTCTGTGTGAGCAGGAAATATGAGCTGTACAGCATGGACTGGGACCTGAAGGAGGAACTCAGGGACTGCCTGGTGGCCGCTGCACCCTACGGGGGCCCCATTGGTAAGACACTCCCTGCCACAGCATGCTCTGGGACCTTGGGGTGAACTCATGGTCCTTGACTCCTAGGAGTCCTATTGTTGGATTGTTCTTGTTGGCATATGGCACCCTTCCGCACCCCCCTCTCAAACCCCTATTGAGATGCTTTTAATTCTGGTTCTCATGAGGCCTGCTTCATATGGTGGGCATGAGGAGCTACTTCATGAGGCTGCTTTATATGCGCTGGGCTTAGGGAGCTAGGACAGGAGGTCTCTTTTCAAACTGCAGCACTGCTGAGGAACCCCTGGAAGAAGGAGAAGGCTGCAAGTGTACGGCCGGTACTTGAGATCTACTCTGCGTCTGGCATGCCTCTGGCCAGTCTGCTGGTGAGCACCTGCAGCCTGCCCTGGGGCTGGGGACTGGGCAGGGCTTCTGTGTCCCAAGACAGTCTCATGAACTTACTCTCTACAGTGGAAGAGTGGGCCAGTGGTATCCCTGGGCTGGTCAGCTGAAGAGGAGCTCCTCTGCGTGCAGGAAGATGGTGTAGTACTGGTTTACGGGCTTCATGGTGACTTCCGGAGACACTTCAGTATGGGCAATGTAGGGGCCACAGGAAGTTGGGAAAAAGGGATGGAGTCTGTGACCCTGTGGCTTTTTTAAGGCCCCTCTCCACTTGCCCCTTTCCCCAGGAGGTACTCCAGAATCGGGTTCTAGATGCCCGGATCTTCCATACCGAATTTGGTTCTGGAGTGGCCATCCTCACAGGGGCCCACCGCTTCACCCTCAGTGCCAATGTGGGTGACCTCAAACTCCGCCGAATGCCAGAAGTGCCAGGTGAGTACTGACACCCCTGAGATAATCATTCAGTGCCTATAGATGTGCTTCCAGACTGTGGGATCCACAGAGGCAGACTCTGTGGGCTCTGGTCATCCTGAGGTTTTCCTCTTCCCTGACCACAGGTTTGCAGAATGCACCCTCGTGCTGGACCACACTGTGCCAGGACCGAGTGGCACACATTCTTCTGGCTGTGGGACCCGATCTTTACCTCTTAGACCATGCAGCCTGTTCCACAGTGGTGAGGGCCTGTGAAATGGAGGGGTGGGGAAGGCTGTGGGGAAGCACTGAGAAGTTAGTGTCTCTGGTGTCTCCCGGCCCTGCCCCAGACGCCCCCTGGCCTGGCCCCAGGAGTGAGCAGCTTCCTGCAGATGGCTGTCTCTTTCACCTACCGACACCTGGCACTCTTCACAGACACAGGCTATATCTGGATGGGGACAGCTTCACTCAAGGTTTGATCCTGAGATAACACAGGGGCACTTTGCCTTGTCCAGGGGAGATCTGTTTAGGGTAGAGAAGGGGCTTTTTAACCTGAGTGCTGGGACAGAACCATGACATTTCCCTGCATCCTTTCAGGAAAAGCTGTGTGAGTTCAACTGCAACATCCGGGCCCCCCCGAAACAGATGGTCTGGTGAGGATGGGAGTCTTGTGCTGGGGTTTGGGGTGGAAGTAGCCTTGTTTCTTGGGACACCTTGATTCATCCTGTCTACTGGCCAAACCAAGGGGAGCTTTCATCATATCTTCTCTGCCAGTGCACACTTGAGGGAAATCCCTGCCCCACTGTGGGCCTCAGATACACCCAGGAGCTGACAGTACAGGGTAAAATGAAAGCAGACAGGCCAATCAGAGGAAGGGGAGTGGGAGCAGGAGGCATGCTCAGGGCTGTGCCAAGGCAAAGTGATGTAAGCAGCAATATGAGAGACCTGGCTGTGGGCCTTGCGTCCCGTCCATGTCTCCTACATGTTTGTGTGGTGCTGTACACAGGTGCAGCCGTCCTCGCAGCAAGGAAAGGGCTGTTGTGGTGGCCTGGGAGAAGCGGCTGATGGTGGTGGGTGATGCACCTGAAAGCATCCAGTATCCTTGGAGGGCTACCTGTGGGGGTGGGAGAGGAGAGGGGAAAGGGGTCACCTGCCCCATCCCATCTTTGGATGTTCTTACGAACCTTAACCAAACTGAGGTTTGTGCTGGATGAGGACTCCTACCTGGTACCTGAGCTGGATGGGGTCCGCATTTTCTCGCGCAGCACCCATGAATTCCTGCATGAGGTTCCAGGTGAGGCCTTTACAAGGGCACCATGTAAGGGAACCTGGGACAGGGGCACTTTGGCACTGCAGCTGCTGTGGGCTGGTGCCCCAGAGCAGGATCAGGGCATTGAGGCATTGAGGCATAGCTGAGAGTTCTCTGCCCCCTCCCCCACTCACCATCTCCCTTCCCCAGTGGCCAGTGAGGAGATCTTCAAAATTGCCTCAATGGCCCCTGGAGCACTGCTGTTAGAGGCCCAGAAGGAATATGAGGTAAAGCCCTGGGCTTCTCCCCAGGCCCCAAGATGCTCTCTATCCCCTTCCCCTGATTGGCCCTGCCCCCTGCCCCTGCCCCT